GAGAGAGAGAGAGAGAGAAAGACAGAGACAGAGAGACAGAGAAAGAGGCTAAATAGTCCTTGATGTACAAAAATATTTGTTTGGATCCCATCTAGCATCCTGTGTGGATAATAATAATGACGGAATAAGAGATTGGAAAGGGACCTTGGAGGTCTTCTAGTCTAACCCGCCTGCCTTCCTCTCTCTCCCTCCTTCTCTCCTTCCTTCCTTCCTTTTCTCTCTCTTTCTCTCTCTCTCTCTTCTCTTTCTCTATTTATCTATTCCAGGAGTCTTCAAACTTGACAGCTTTCAGACTTGTGGACTTCAACTCCCAGAATTCCTCCCCCTCCAGTCCTGTTAGCTCAGGAATTCTGGGAGTTGAAGTCCACAAGTCTTAAAACTTGCCACGTTTGAAGACCCTTGGGTTCAATCCATTGTCCCACTAGTTTGTGCAAAGGGTTGCAAAAACAGAACTCCCTTTTCTCAAGCGCCGTTGTAAAACTGTCGCAGGCTGAAGACTATTTGTTAACCCGGTTCGTCCCCTTCTCTCCCACAGACACGACCCTTTCCCGCTGCTCCCTGAGAGACGGCTACTGGTGCAAACTGGCTTACTGGGAGTATCGCCACCGCGTGGGGAGGCTCTACCCGGTGCATGGAGATTACGTCTGCGTTTTCTCCAACCTCCCCAACGGCAGCGGACTCTGCCTGGGCCAGCTGTCATCCCAAAACCGCAGCCCGGCTGTCCGGAGAACACAGGCTAAAATCGGACGGGGTTTGTTGCTCAGCCAAGAAGCCAGCGGGGTCTGGGCTTGCAACCGAAGCGAGCACCCCCTCTTCGTCTGTTCCCCCACTCTGGGGACCGGGGGGAGCTCCGCCCCTCCGGTTCACAAAATCCTCCCCGGTTACTCCATCAAGGTCTTCGATTACGACCGGGCCACGCACCTGGCGGGCAGGCGCCCGGTCACCGGCGAGGGGCCCCACGATGGGCACACGATCCGGATCAGTTTCGGTAAAGGTTGGGGTGCGTCTTACACCCGCCGGTTCATTACTTCTTGCCCGTGTTGGCTGGAAGTGCTGCTCAACGCCCCGAGATGAAGCCGTTTGTGTGTGAAGTGTGGAGGGAAGTAACGACAACGCAACGGTGGGGTGTTGTGGGAACGCACGCTGCACCCTAAACGTAGATCATTCGGCGAGGCGAGAAGCTAAATTTCCTTCGCCGGAGAGCTCTTCAAGCTTTCAGGGGCTCCCTGCTTTCCCCCCTGTCTTCCGAAATACCTATTGCTTTTGTGACCTAAATGCAGGCAGTTCTCGACTTACGACCAGAACGTCCGTCGGTAAGCCAGGCGGTTGCTCCGTGAGATGCACCCAATTTTATTTTATTTTTTGTTGCTAGCCAAATCACTGCCGTCGTTAGTCAAGCAGCTGTTGAGCGAAACCGCCTTCCCGCATTTTCTTTCTTTGGCGAGAGCCAACGGGGACGGGGGTTAAAGACATGGCTGCCGTTGTTAAGTGGATCATAAGGTTGGAAAGCAAGTCCAGCGAATCCCCGCAGTGGTTCAAATCCGGCTTTCGACTCGACTCGTCGGAAAAGTCACCCAAAGTCATAAATGCGAGTCCGTTGCCAAGTCAGTTTTAATTGTGATCCCACGAGAGGCCTTGTAATTTTTCACGGCCATTAAACGGACGGTCGTAAGTTTGAGGACTGCCTGTACGTGGTCCCAGCACAGCAGCTAAACTTGATATGAGAATTCACCCCGCCTTCTTCCTTCTGGAGCTGAACGTTGAAAAACTGAAGAAGAAAAGAGTCACGTTTTAGGGGGGAACGACGAAAGATAAGAACGCTTGGAAAGACGGCGGGAAATCGATCGGTTGAAAAATGTAAAAACGTTCGCATTTATGGATGGAGAGTTTGTTAAGTTGCTGTGGGGTTTGAGAAGTTGTGGAGTTTGGAGAAGAGTTAAAGATGTCTGTGTTAGGAAATAAGGAATATTTGCGTTTTCCTTCTGTATTTCTTTGAGATTAAATTGCTTTTTTTTAAAAAAAAAGTTTTTTGTGGTTCTTGTGAAAGAAAAACCGATTTTTTTTTACTGTTTCCCTGAAAATAAGACCCTGTCTTATTTTTTATTTTATTTTTTGCCACCAAAAAAGGCACCAGGTCTAGGTGTAGGTCTAGGTGTGTTCGGGTCTTTTCCCGTGTAAGATTAAGAGTATCTTGGCGACGTTTTGGCGAGGTCCCACTCGCCATCCTCAGGCTGGTGCTTTCGGCTTCGTGCCAGTACAAGCAGTGTGTGATCGGAGCTGCCGTCTCTCTATAAATACTGGTGGTGTGGGGGGCTGGTTGGCTGCGCTGCTGCTTCTTGATTGGTTGATGGAATTGATGTTGGTATAACGGGCTGTGTGATGGCCTTGTGAGTTATGTTGTGGAGATATCCTGGATCTTGTGCTTTAATCTCCTGGGTCGTTTGTGTTTTGATCTCTTTTCCATTATATATTTTATATAATATATATTATATTATATATATATATATGTATATATAGGTAGGGCAGCTCCACACTCACCCCAATCCCCATCCCAGCCTAATTTTTACCCGTCCACTCTGGATCTTAATTAGGGCTTATTTTGGGTGCACGTGTAAAAAAAATCAAGCTAAGTCTTACTTTCAGGGTAGGTCGTATTTTCTGCACAGGGTAATATACTGTGCAGGTAATCCTCGACTTACAAACTGCCACGGAGGCCAACATTTCCGCCGCTAAGCAGGACCGTTCTTAAGTGAGTTTGCCCCCCATTTTACCTCCTCTGTTGTTAAAGGGATTGAGGTTCATCACACAGCTGTGAGATTAAGTGAATGTGGCTTCCCCATTGGCTCGTCCGAAGGTCGCGAAAGGGGACCATGTAACCCTGGAGATGCTGCACCAGTCGTAAGTGTGAAAAAAAACAGTCGTAAGTCACTTTTTTTTCAGTGCCATCGTAACTTCGAATGGTCACTAAATGAACCCGTTGTAAGTCAAGGACTACCTGTAATATAAGTGCAAATCATATTTTTTTTCATATACTACACTGAAAATCTTAAAATTCAAATGCACGGATGCCAACGTCTATTCTAAATATTAAATATTCTCATCCAGGAAACTGTTCCAATAGTTTTACAATTATCCAGCATTCCTGAGCATGCACAGAGTGCTTGCCAACCGGTTTTTTTTTCTCCTGCTTGTTCGGCTGAATCAGTCTCCTGTGCTTTGCAAGTTTGTCAGTTTTACAATTGCAAAAGGCAGAAACCCGAGGGATTTTTAACTTTAGCAGGCTCCTGAGCATGCACAAAGTGCAAATCTTCTCCTCCATAGTGCAAACAGTGTTCAGATTCCAAATGCATTGTATTTGGGTTTGTTTTTTTTAGTGGGGGGGGGGAGAGTTCAGGAGTCACTAGAAATCATAGACAAATAAATATGTTTTTAGTGCACAAAACCTGGAATTTTTGCAGACCTGCCAGCAAAGGGCGCTCTCGCTGCACAAGTGCTGCTAAAAAGAAAATTTCAATTTAATGTCCTACTTAAAATTTGAATTCATTCCTCCATCAATCTCTTTCTGCTTTTCATCAGTGGTTGCTTGGCAGGCAGATACCCAACAGGTTTTGATATATATCAAGATGTGAAATATATATATATATATTTCACATCTTGAGATAAAGGCAGGGCTAAGAACAGTCTGTCCCTTGGCACGGAATGGAAATTCATTTAAATTATTTGCAAACTTAGGTGCTGCATTCAATCAAATGGGCTTGTTTTTAATCCTGGTTGGGGTTTTTTGGGGCGGGGCAGGGCAGAATTACATCTTTGGGTGAACCCAAACTGAATATTTTAGATTACAAAATATCCAGTCCTGGAACTTGAATATTTTTGACTGCAACAATATCCAGTCCCGGGAATTAGGGTTGTTTTTATAACCCGGGTTATAAATTGTTTGTGCAAATTGTGTTGCTTCCTCATTGGATCATCAGGGGTTGTTGTTTCTGTGGCACATTGCCACTTGTAAACCCCTTTTGTGGCCAGTAAAATTGTTAAACCTCTTTGGCGGCTTCCTATCAGTGTAGAACCAGCCGGAAGCAAATTTAGAAAACCGGCGACCGTTCAAAACAAACCATGATTTCCCGCAGCACAACCACCATTCGCAGTGACATTGAGGTGACGCGTGATTGCAACGGCCCGTGTGGAAAAAAAGTCGTTCCACGAACGGTTGCCACTCAACGGTAAACTGTCCCCGACAGTTTGGGTCTCCTTGTGGCCTCCCATCCCGTGGAATCGGAAGACAACCAAGCGGGACCCGTCGTGAGAATCTGCCTCCAGCAAGGATCTTAAAAGAGAGATCCAGCTAGCTAGCCCAAACTTTGCAGGGGTTTGAGGTGGGGCTATGTGGGGAGAAAGAAAGGGGGGAAAAACACACACACACACACCCACACCCCACCACACCCCAATGCTTTCATCTGGGGTCTGTGATTGACAGCTCGGGCATCCGCCTCTCTGTCTCTCTTGCCTGTGGCTTTCCTTGCCTTGCCAACTCAACCCAACTTTTCGCTGCAAAATTCAGCCCGGGCGGGTTTAGCAGCTCGGTGTGGAGAATGTATTGGGGGGTGGGGGGTGTTTTCCTGTGTGCCAACCACTTCAGACCAGGTGGGGAAGGAAGAGGGGCACAGCCGAGAAGTGCCAGGCTCACCCCAAAAACCACTCCTCCGCCTCCAGATCCCCCAGCCGTCGTTTGTGGCGAGGGGGGGTGTTGGTTTTTTGTTTTTTGCAAAGCAAGTAGCTCAGTGCCCACACTCTTAACCCACCCACCCACCCCCGGTCTTTGTTCATGGGGCTGAGATTGCAGCCGTGGCAGGATTTGCATTCGCTTCCCAACCCCCGGGGGGGGCTTGGGACGAAACACGGATTCCCAGAAGGGGGACCCCCCCCCCCGAAACGGGCCCGCCGGTTTGAACTTTAGGCGGGCCTTTCCGGTTTTTTTTTTACGAAGGTGACCGACCCTAGAAGGGAGGCTCAAAAACGGCCTGGGGGTAGGGTGGGGGCTAGGTTTGAATTCATGAGGACTAGAAGCTTGGGTCCTTTGGGGAAGGAAGCTGGCCTTCTCCAGGAAGGGCAACACACCTGGTTCGGAGGAGGAAGAACCATGGGCTGAACGACGACGGCGGCGTTCAGCAGGTTTCTAATTTGAAAGGTTACTTTAGATCTTTAAATTCCACCTGCCTGGGGTATAAAACCCGCTGGAGAAACCTCCCTTATTTTCTGCTGTCACGATGTCTTTTATCTGGGGAGGAAGAGTGAGGGGAAGAGTTATTAACCAAAGCTACTGGTGTCTCTGGAACTCCCCGCCTCAGGAAGAAGGAACACTTCAGACTCTTGCAAAAGGACTTGTGGAAAAACACCACCCGTGGTTTTTTTTTGTGTGTGTGTGTGTGTTTTTTTTTTTAATAGAGGTTTTGGAATAATACTGCTCCCGTGGGGCTGCTGCCAATATTTTATATATTTTATATATATTTTTTAACTCTTTTGTTCTCAAGGGTGGGATTAACAAAAACCATGAAATAACAGAATGATAATATTGGCATTCGCACCCCGCGTAAACTGGGGCCTGAACAGGTTGTGGGTATGAACCCTTGGGATGTGAAAATGGGAACATAAGATCCATTTGCAGAAGGAAAATCTATCAATCTTATCTCTCTATCTATTCTATCATCTATCTATCTGTCTATCTAGGTTATCTACAGTATATATCATCTATCTCTATCTCTCCTAATCTGTCTTAATTTGTTAATATCTATCATCTCTATCAATCTATCAATATTTCTATCCTTCTATCCATCTATTTATCTATCTCTATCCCTCTTAAATCTATCTTTATATGTTAATATCTATCATCTCTCTCTATCCCTCCCAATCTAATTTGTTCATATCTATCATCTCCATTGATCTGTCTATCTTTCTATCACCTATCAATCTATAGCCCTCCTCATCTTTATATGTTAATATCTATCGTCTATCTCTTTAACTCTCCTAAACTGTCTTTATTTGTTAATATCTATCTATTATCATTTATCAACCATCTATATCTATCATCTGTCTATCATCTATATCTATCTAATCTCTATCACTTAATCTTTATTATCTATCTATTCTTTTCCTCCCTCCCTCCATCTATCTATCATCTACCTATCGATAGGGCTATCTCTATCCTATCATCCATCCATCTATCATCTACCTATTGATAGTGCTATCTATCCTATCTATCTATCTATCTATCTATCTATCTATCTATCTATCTATCTATCTATCTATCTATCAATCTATCAATCTATCTACCTATCTATCTATCTATCTATCTATCTATCTATCTATCATCTATCTATCTATCTATCTATCTATCTATCTATCTATCTATCTATCATCTATCCTATCATCTATCTATCTATCTATCTATCATCTATCTATCTATCTATCTATCTATCTATCTATCTATCTATCTATCTATCTATC